ACACACACACACACACACGCACACACATACATACATACTCATACGAACACACGTACAGACATACTCATACGAACACACACATGCACACAGAACAATATTAGGGCAATAAAAAATATTAGCCTAACTATAAGAACTATAGAAGAATAAAAGAAACACAACTCCCCTTTCGACATTTCTTTTGTTTGGTTTTTATTACTTTTATCCAGTCTGTAGGAAGAACTTAACAATTCGTGCTTTTGTGTCCTAAAATGACAGTGCACTTTTTGGCGTCAACTTTGGAAATATACAGAAACAAATATTGTGCATTGTGAGATGGTTAATTCCTTTATTGAGAATGCAAATAAAAATGACACCCCCTCCCCCAATCGATCTAAATGACCCCCTCCCGTCCCTCAAAACAACAAAAACAACAAACAAACAAAAACAAACAAACAAAAAATCGAAAAAACAAACCCCATTACTTACAACACACCGTTCGTGACATCTGTTATATTGCTCTATTAATTCTTCGGTTTTGACTTATATCTTGCCAACAACGAGTAGAGGAACACACATTGTTCTACAGGAACGTTTGTTTGAGAAGCGTGCATAAAAACCCCCCCAAAGCAGATGGCCGTCGTGTTTTTACAAAAATCCACTTCCCTTTTTCTCTTACCTGCTGGTTTCTATTCCATTTCCCCCCCACCCATTATCGTTCTCTATTCATGTAAACCTTATGATATCACTACACTCTTTTTAAATAAATACACCCCATACAATATCGCTCATGGTTTTCTTCCCAGAATGGCATGACGTGTGCTCACATCGCCGCAGCAAAGGGCAGTGCCGCCGTCATCAAAGAACTGATGCGCTTCAACAGGGTCATCATCACAACGGCACGGAACAAGGTCAGGGTCATGCAATGTGTCGACTCCACTCGTCATGCTTCTCGGTCGTTGTTGTGCATGTAGTGTGGGTAGTTGGCGGGAGCTCTGGTGTGGTTTGCTCCTTCTTTTCCATCAAACAACTGTCGTCCTTATCTCTCCTTCTTTTCTTGGTATAATATTACTCTATGGTAATACCTCTAATCTTCGGCACTTATGTGACCTATTTGTGTTGCAAGTGCTGTAAAACCCTTACTAAAATCAAAACTAAAACTACATTTGTTGTATTCCGTTTGACTGATACGATTATTGTTATGTTTGAGGTTGGTAGTTAATGTAAATCGTTAGGAAAAGACAAATGATGATGATGATGATGATGATGAGCGGATGTACAGACATGATATGTTTTAAAACAGAAATAGATAGATAGATAGATAGATAGATAGATAGATAGATAGATAGATAGATAGATA